TGATGGCCCCTTAGTTAGAGGGTATGACCCTTAAAACGATAGGTTTTTGGATCCACAGGTTGGTTTTACAAGCCCTAAACCCTAAACCCTAAACCTGTTTTTGGGCTTCGGGTCTAGGGGCTTTAGAGTGGGGAGGTTAGGGCCATAGCTCAGGGCTTCCTAGGTTTGCAGGGCTTTTAGGGTTTAGGGGTCTCAGGGCTTACTTACGCCGCTTTAGGACTTTAGGGGTGACGATTCAGGGTCTTTCGGGCTTAGGGCTTAAGGCTGGCAGGGTTTAGGGGTCTCAGGGCTTACTTACGCCGCTTTAGGATTCTAGGACCCGGAGTAGGCCCTTATTCCCTTTTTTAGGGTTCAGGTTCCCTTATAAGCCCCTTTAAACCAAGAAGGGCATCCTTTTTATGCCTGGGTTACTCTGGGGTCTAGGATTTTAGGGGTGACGATTCAGGGTCTTTCGGGCTTAAAGGGCTTAAGGCTGGCAGGGTTTAGGGTACGCTTCGCGATTTGAATACAGTTCCTCGTTATGATGATGACTTAGAAGCTGTGTGAGTGCACCTTACACTTTTTGGGATAGTATTTATTATCCCTGAACTGAAAGGGTACACGTCTTTGACTGATGAACTCAGCAACTAAGATGAGGGCTTAGGACCAAGGGAGGTTTTTATTTTCGCAGTACAGCTCTACTTCTGGCTTATGAGCTGGACAACGACAACTAACGATGGAGGAGTTTCAATACTAAGCTGTAGTCTAATAGTATCCCTAATCCGACATTCAGAGCTTGCCACTGTATTCCCAACGAGTGATACCTGTGTTTTTCATTCAGCACAGTACAGCTCCCACCGGCAAGTGCCATCGTTTGCACGACTATTTGCGGCGCTCATCACTGGCCGGATCGCCTGTGGCGCATTTCGACGACAAATGCGACCATCGTTTGCACGACGATTTGCGGCACTCATCACTGGCCGGCTCGCCTGTGGCGCACTTCGACGACAGGTGCGGCGACGACATCTTGCATGAAGTGGTGGTGGCTGGCCGGGCAAGGACCATTTGACCTACCTCCATGCAATGGACTGAGTTCGAGTGGACGATGCCTATTGTGCACGAGCTTGATGCATTCGGTCGGTGGCTATCGGCGGAGCTTGGGGGCTGAACATTAAACTTTGAACGTTTTGGGTTTTATACAAAAAACAACTACTAAAGGTTAGTCGTCTAAGAACCATTTTCTCTCCCAAATAACAGTATTATCCTAAACCCCAGTACCTCATTATGGGATCCTCTGGATCCTCAAGACCTCTCTAGAAGCCTACATACCCTTATATATCCCTTATTGAACCCTTATACAACCCTGTACTATTGGGATCCTTGGCACCTTAGCTCAGGCCCTCAGAAAAGAGCTACGGCTGATGATATAAATCCTGCATTACCCATCGTAAGGAATATACCATAATTCCCATAGTTTAGGGTCCTTAAGGTAATGCAGGATTTATATCATCAACCGTAGTGAGAGGGTTTTCCGAAAAGGCTTTGTCAGTGAGGGTCATTCTAGCTACAGTAGAAGCCGGAAAGTTGGAATATCATTGAATCATTATCATAATCTTTTTAAGGTAAGTTATAGCCTATTCCAACTTTCTGGAGTTCCCTGTGGGGTTGCTCATGAGCGACTCGGACCCCGGAAAGTCGATGAGCTATGACCATCTTTCTATCCTTCGGCCGTTAACCCCAAGGGTCCAAAGGACCCAATCATTAGGTACTTATAGGTTTCGGATAGTAGTTATGTAGGTTACTATTTGGGAGAGTATATGATTATTAGGTACTTGGACCCTTAGGGTTAACAGCCCTAACCCCCAATTTCTGAGCTTGAGCCTTCGGTTGTATGTAGATTTGTAGGGGGTTTAGAAAATGGCAATCCGCTAAACCTCAAGTTCCTGACCCCCAAGCCCGAAACGCATAATCCCGAAGCCAACATCCTTAACACAACCCACATCCCTAAAGCCCACATCCCTAACTAGACCGACCTCCGAAGTGGGTTATAGACCGACCTCCGAAGTGGGTTAGAAGTAAGAGCAGAATTCATTGAGAGACCGTCTGCTAGTTGACAAATGAAACCATTAGCATATGGGGTAGCTAGGGTAATGTAGGGTGGCTTTGCTGTTAACAGTTAGCGTTCAGGGTGTAGAGTTGCTTGAAATGAGACGGTTCTTATATCATTCAACGGAAACCTTCACGACGAGTCCCTAAACCCCAAATTCAAACCTTTCGAACTCTTGCAGTTGGAAAAAGGTGTGGACAAAGTCCTAAACCCTAACAAAATCGTAAGCTGTGAGAAAGGGAGCCTCCAACAAATGCAAAACTTAAGCCCTAAACCCTAAACACCTAAGTTCTCAAGATCAGGTCTATGACCCGGCTACGGGGAAGCTGGTGCGTCTCGATGCCGGGGATCTCGGCACTTTCAGAGGCATGTGCCCTATTTAGAGGCACCTGCCCTAAATCTTAAGCTTGGGGCGAAGTAAGGCTTCTATTGAAGGGTTCCTTTCAGGATTGTGATAAGGATTCTATAAGGAGTCTATAGTACTTAGAGTCCCAGGGGGCTTAGTATGTCGGTTATAAGTAGGGTTATAATGGTTATAATTGGGGTAATTGAATTTAGGGGACTTGTAACTCTACTTACAACCTACTTACGGAGTCCCCGGGCCTCCAAGTAAATCTTAAGCTTGGGGTCATGAAGGATGACTTTTCCAAGGGTTTTGCAAGGTCTCGCAGTGTGCCCTTTTTCCCTAGTCTTACAGAAAACTGATTTAGATCCCCAATACCTAACCTTTAAACGTTGTTGGGTTCTTATAGTTTAGTAGGAATCGGAAAGTTTAACCTCTCATTTCTGTGGCTTATTGGGGTAGTAAGAACCCTAAACCCTAAACCCCTAAATCCTAAACCCTGGCCCTAAACCCTAAACCCCTAAACCTTCAGTCCTAAGCTACCCTAAGGCTCCATGTACCCATATAGTATATACTTGGGCATTCAAGTACCTATATAGGGACTTCGTTAAGGCCTAAGTATCTACTGTAATGGTACATAGAGCCTTTGGGACAGTCTAAACCCTAAAAACCCTAAAGCTAATGTGCATACTATGCCTAGAGTCTACCCTACCCCTTGTTCCGGGCACCTATACTCAATGGCAAGAGGGGAGGCCTTTTCGTCCCAGGTTTCTGGGCATCGCAGTCTGGGACTGAATCTGAATATGGGAGTTTCGGAAAATTCGGGGTACCTTTAAAGGGATCCTTTAAGGGTTCCTTTATTAAAGGGATCTATAAGGGTTCTTTCTATAAAGGGTTTAGGGTTTAGAGTTTCCGAAAATTAGGGGTACTTTGTTTTGGGTCCTTATAATAAGGGTCTTACTAGTTAGGGTACTATGCTAGGGTCCCCTATTTTCGGAAACCCTCATATCGAAGCGCTCATGAAGGTTCGTGGTAAAGGGCGGCTAAAGTTCTTGGGATGAAAAGGGGCTTACTTGTGATAACTTATAAACAAGGCTTTAGAAGGGATGTGTAAGGCTGCAACCTCTACGTCCCTAGACCCTCAACCCCTAGACCCCTAAACTCCAAAACCCCTAGACCCCTAAACTCCAAAACCCCTAAACCCCTAAACTCCTAAACCCCTAGATGCCTGAACTCCTAAACCCCAAAGCCCACGGTTGTTGCGAGGCTCACAAGGAAGGGATCTAAGCCTTCAGGGGCTCTGGAGTTTCGGGGTTTTAGGAGTTTTGGGCTGCAGGCTTAGGGTTTAGATGGGTAGTGGTCAAAATGATGGCTCCCTTTTTGGGTACCCTAAATATCTAGGGTTTAGGATTTAGGGTCTAGGTGCAGTGCTATAGTAAGGACCCAAAAAGGGACCATAATTGTGACAACCACCCCTATGAGCGGCAGGGGTTAGTACAAGGCTTGAAGCCATTAGGATGTTTATCACATATCTGATCCAGTGAGTCTTGCTGCTTTGCTAGCTTCTTATTGTCGTATCTAAATGCTAGCCACACTCAGGTCAAGCAACAAAGAGATAAACTGGACTTGAGTGCGATTGGTATAACCGCAAGGGTCCAAAGGACCCTATAATCAGGTACTCGGTTTTAGGATCGTAGTTATGCAGGTTAGGATTTCGGACAGTATATGATTACTAGGTACTTCGGTTGATGATATAGATCCTGCATGACCTTAAGGACCCTAAACTATGGGAATTATGGTAAATTCCTCATTATGGGTCATGCAGGATTTATATCATCAACCGTTGGAAATTTTGGGGTAACACCTACTGCCCAGACCTGAGACTGTAAACTGTAAACCCAAGTGGACGTGCCTAACTCCGAGTTCGCAAGATCATCTCTGCACACTACACCCTAAGGCTCTAAACCCCAAACCCCTAAGCCCTGAACCCTAAACCCTTAAATCCTAAGGCCCTAGTCTCGAAACCCCAGCCCACCCTAGAGCCCCGACACAAGTGGACTTGACCAAAACCCTCCCCATCCCCTCACTCCGACATCCGAAGGGACCCCAAAAACGAAGATAGAGGTCTGAATGATTGGTAGTAGTATCGCCTTCAATTCCCTTAACAGACCAAACAGCCCCTTGTCATTAATAACGATTCTGGTCAACACGGCTCCCGTGCTGCCCAGCTGGCTCCATTAGAAGCTTGCAGTGGAGAAGTATACAGAGACAGTTTAGGATATTGGGGGTTTTACGGGTTTAGGATATAGGGCTGTGTTGTGGATTGCGGGTTCAGGGCTTCGGATTGGTCGTGGGTTGTGGGGTCGAGAAGTCAGTCACACGTGTCCCAACAGACTCCAACAACTCTACCACCACAGAGTTTTGAAGAACTGCCATAATACATATATATATATATATATATATGTATATATATATAATCATATATATTAGGACCTTAGTAGTAGCCCTATTATAGACTCTTCTGTAAAGGGGCAGTACCTACGGTCTAGCAAGCATTCCCGGCTTCCAGCAATGCTTTACGTCTGGAGCATCTCCGGAGACCAGCTCGCGGCTATGTCAAGCGCAGATGTTGAGGACGTGCGGAGACTTGGCCAGCAGGACAGCTCAAACCTTCCAGGATGCCTTGATTATACCTTAAAAACTCCTATTTAGGGAGCCCTCTACCATATTGCAGTTAGAGTTTTTAAGGACTATACTTTCGATCATATTTGGGATCCTTCTACAACTGAAGGTAGATTCCTTAATTGCACGACTTTGGAAGGTCTACCCAGAGGCCCCATAGTAGTTCCTTTTTGGGATTACCTTATAGGATTCTATATATGAACCCTAAAGAGGAACTACTTTGGGGGCCTCTGGGTAGGTAGCTCAGTCCCTACACTCGAGCCTTGAAGCTGCTAAGGATTCAGCTTGCAGGTTTAGGGTTTTAGGATTTTCGGGATTTAGGGTTTAAGGCTTCTAGGGTATTAGGGTTTAAGGTTAGCGGTGTGGGGAGTTTGTGTTTAGGGTTTAGGGATAAGGGTTTATAAGGCACAAAGACCGCACTGTAAAAGCATGTTGGGCCATTTTCTTGAGCCTCAGGGTAAGCCCTAAGCCCTAAACGCGTTTAAAACACGCAAGCTCTTAAACCCAGAAACCTAAGCCCTAGCCCCTAAATCCGTAAACCTAAACCCAATAGATCCCTTATGGAGCCCTTATGGATGCCTTTAAGCCCTAAACCCTATAAGCCCGAGACCGTACAGGCTTCGCGCCTTTTTTGATGGTGGGGACTGAACCTGTCGGAGAGCTTTTTGCTGACGGTTTAGGGTTCGGGATCCAATGGAGTTCAATAGTGCTGAGTCTAGGGTTTAGGGTTTAGGGTTCGGGATCCAATGGGGTGGTTGTAAAAATGATGGTTCCTTTTTGGATCCCTTAAATATTAGGTGCCGTATTTTAATAAGGACCCAAAAGGGGACCCTAATTTTGTCAACCTCCCAATGGATTTCAATATTGCTGGGTTTAGGGTTTAGGGTTCTGGTTAAGGAACTAGTAATAAGCTTTACTGCAAGCCTGTTGCTTTACACTTCAGATCACAAAAATAGCGCATGAACAAGAGCACGATGTGCTACCTGCAGGTAAGCCATAGTAAGCCATAGTAGCTATAGTTGTCTTAATCAGCTGTGATCTGCAAGTGTCCGCCAAGGACAGTCAAAGCAGAACTGTACCGATTGCACGGATGGTCGCGATTTCGACAGAGGCTCCTTCACGATGGTTGTGTTTTGGAGAACACTGCCAGTTTGGATGGTCGCGTCGATGTTCAAATGCTTCTCGTGGATTTTGCATCTACCAGCTGGAATCAGGCAGACTCACTGACCAAAGCTGTCACGTCGGGCAATGTGGGTTTCTTAGTAGCTGAGTGGATACACTTTACACTTTTGGGATAGTATTACCCACTATAAAGCAGAAAGTGTAGTTTTTTTGGGGCTTATGACCCTAAACCCTAAACCCTAAGCCCTAAACCCTAAACCCAACTCAGCAACTAAGGTTTGGTGTCGGAGATCTTGGATAGGCCACAAGATCCAAACTACGCCGACACACGGGGCCGCAAGCCGCTGAGCTTGGCACTGCGTTGCGGTCACATTGGCAGCTGGGCTCTTGTTTAGGGTTTAGGTAGGGTTTGTTCAATGTATATATGGACTTGAAATGTGTAGGTCCCCGCTAGCGGGCAGCGGGCACCATTACTGCTAAGCTATGCTTGTTCGGATAAGAAACCCTTAAAAACAAGAAACCTAAAAACCCTAAACCCAGGCATTGCGCAGTTGCTGTTGGAGGCTGGGGCAGGCAGGGATTTCATCGGCCAGAGCCGGCAGGAAGCCTTTGAGGAGGCCATCATGCGAGGACAGGCGGAAGCTGGTCTTCGGAGTACCACACTGTTATATTTTTTCTCAAAGGAACCATTATGAAAATACACGTTTATGCTTTTTCTCCCTGGTTGTTTACAAGCCCAGGAAGTGGTTCAACTGCTGCTAGAGGTCGGAGCGCACAAGCCTTGGGCGACTCACGATCGTGATATGCTTCCATTTGCCGTGCAATGTGGTCGGACTGACATTGTGTCAATGCTGCTGGCTGCTGGGTTCAAAGAAGTCATGATTAAGGCCCTCCTGTTTGCCATCATTAAGCATCGCGCCGACATGCTGCGGCTGCTGCTAGATTCTGGTGTCCAGCGCAGAGACATGGCAATTGCATGCCAGGCCGCTTCAAACGAGCAAAAGCATGATCTCGTTCAAGTGCTGCTGTGCTCTTGTTAATGAAGTTAGTTTGTGTTACTCTAGTAGGCATATATGGTAATTACTGTAAATAATATTGAACTGAGTTCTGCACCAAGAGCCCAGGCTAGTGGAAGCTGGGGCAAGCTCACCGGTTGCTGCCACTGCACCACGTCTGGACACAGACAAATTTCATGCTGCTGCGCGTGCTATAGTGATGCGAGGTCTAGATGCCGCACAGACGACAGCTGCTATCCGGGATTTGTTTTATTCTTCGCTATCTTCTTCGATTCCCCCTCCCCCTACTACTCCCCCTCCTCCCTCACGTGCCGCTCCCTTGCCTCCTGTTCCACCATTCCGACCCCCACCACCTCCACCAACCTCTCCCTTGCCACAGCCCGACGCTGCGGCCCCAAAGATGCGACCCTGCCACCGCAGAGGCTTCCATGACTCTTGGGTGTTCCTTAGGAGCGATTTTTTATGTTTTACAGCCCCGGCAAACCAATGAGATGTTGAAGATAATCCTACAACTGACCTGAACCCTGATTCCCTAGATCCTAAACCCTATAGTTAAACCCTCGACCCTGAACCCCTTACCTGAACCTCTAAACCTTGAGCCGTAAACTAAACCCTGAACACTAAACCCTGACCTCATAAACCCCTAAACCCTGAACCCCCACAGATACCTTTAAAGGAACCCTATAGATCCCTTTCAAGGAACCCTATAGATCCCGCTACAGGAACCCTATAGATCGCTTTAAAAGAACCCTATAGATCCCGCTACAGGAACCCTATAGATCCCTTTAAAGGGAACCCTATAGATCCCTTTAAAGCATCCCTATAGATCCCTTCAAAGGAACCCTATAGATCCCTTTAAAGGAACGCTATAGATCCCTTAAAGAGAACCCCCCAAGGATTGCGGTTGCTTCAGCATGCTGGCCTTGGGACGCAGGGCCGAGTGAAAGATTCCGCGCTATGAAAAAGGGAGCACTTGCAGGATTCCTTTAAAGGTTCTACAGGGGTTCCTTTTAAGGGATCTATAGGGGTTTAGGGTTTGGGATGGAGAGTTTAAGGTTCAGGGGCACTGTGAGGGATCTGTTAAGGGATTCTCGAAGGGTACGTTTGGGCTCCTTTAAGGGTTTCTATAGAGGGTGCCACGTACCTATTTATAGGGACCACGTCAAGGTCAAAGTATATACCAACCATGAGTACTTGGACACTTAGCGCTTATAGGGTTGAGGATCTTTGTTTTAGCAGCACAGCGGAATGTATGACAGGCCAAACCTAGATAGTCGGAAGCCTTCAAGCTTTGACGTCATAGGCCGATAGGCTGGTAATGATCAGGTTTACGGATTGGATTAGATAGCGGTTCAGAGCGTGGACTGACAAACACTGGTGCTGCAATACAACGGTCCTGGTGACACTACTTGAAGGCCCAGTGGACTGTGTAACTCGGTTGCAAGTAGGGTCATAATCGAGATAACTTCATAATAGGGAATTTATAACTCTACTTATCATCTACTTACTAAGTGCCCTGGGCCTCCAACCCCAAGGGTACAGGTCCTAATAATCAGATGCTCTCCAAGATCCTAACCTACATAACTACTATCCCAAAAGCGAGCACCTAATTATTGGGTCCTTTGGACCGTTGGGGCTACTTATCACCTACTTACTAAGTCCCCTGGGACCCTAAGTAGCAGTAGCTCAAGCTGGAGCCTCTGTGCAAAGACCTTCTCTTTGAGCTTTACTCAGGTGGGTAGTTGTCAAAATTATGGTCCCTTTTTGGGACCCTAAAAAGTAGGTGCCGTACTGTATTAAGGACCCAAAAAGGGACAACACTTTTTTGACAACCACTCAGGTGGAGATGCAGGATTATCTCCACGAGCTCAAAGAGATCTACAACCTGCACCTTCGCCACGGTTTAAGAGTTTAAGGTTTCTGCGACGTTAGGTGCGCTTTAGGGTGAAACCTTTAAGCCCGAAGCGTTAAACCCCAAACCCTAAACCCTAAACTGGACCTTCAGTCCCTAAGCCCTAAACCCTAAAATGGACTGTTAGTCCCTTTTGCCCTAAACCTCTCAGGTTTAGGTGTGCAGGACTCCTCCGGTCTCGAAAGGTAGCTTGTAATAGAGAGGGGCCGAAGTAATCGCAAATACTATATTTGGGCGTTCCTCATTATGGATATAGCATAATGGGCCCCGAAACCCTATTGAAATTATGCAGGCCCGTACGTTAGATTGTGGATGCCGGTCTGCGGGAAGGCGATCGGCCATCCGTTTCGGCGGCATCCTTTGAGGGTTTAGGGTTTAGGGGTTTAGGGTTTAGGGTTTAAGGCGCGCTGAAGTGCCATCAGAAGGGGCTCCTGGGTCTTTTCTGGAGCTTTATAACTGCAGGCCTGTCTTGGGGCTAACATATAGAAGATCCGATAGTACGAAAGCAAGGTTACCAAGTGAAGGCTCTACAATCCGGGGCCTAATGCAGGAACCTGAATGATTTCATATTTTTAGGGTTTCTTGCCGCATTCTCGTTTGCCCTCCGGGGATGTACATCTGTACTCACCTCCTGGGGTTTCCTTTCTTACTATACCATTACATTATGGTTATAAGTGCAGTACAATATACCCCAAGTTCAATTCTAATCATTGTAAGGGTACTCGTAACGGTGTAGCAGGGTGCTATGGGCGTTTGTAAGGTTTCGAAGGCTTGTGCGTAGGCCCCTGATTCCCAGAGACTCCAATATCCCTTAATTAAGGAATATTCCTTAAGTTACAGTAGGATCCCTAATATGATTTAAGGAATATTCCTTAATTAAGGGATATTGGAGTCTCTGGGTTCATACCGCCCCTTTGGACTTCCAGGACCTTAGTACGGGCAAGCTGTTGAAAATTCAGACTGCGATCCGTGTTAAGCCGTTGAGCGCACTCGTGAACTAGCGGATTAGATTGTAGCTCTGGGTTTCGGGTGTTCGAGATTTGGGTTCTAGAGATTAAAATCATTCACCCATTACCCCAACCCTAGGGTCGCTCTACTTGATAATCTTATTTATACCCCCCCAAACTACGAGCCTACATAACTACTATCCTGAGCCCGGTACCCAATTACGTTTGCCTACAGAGAGCATGGATGAACTTGCTGGGAGGGCCAAGGCCGGAGTGGTCACTGAGTATCCGTGTGACAATGCGGAGTGCCGCTCCAGAACCAAGTTCACCGATGAGAACGCAAAAAAGAAGGAAAGAAAAGAAAAGGAAGCAAAGGCGGCAGCAGGCAGTCCTGTTATTTAGGGTGCTATGCAACGGTCCCCTATTTTCGGAAACCCCCCCATCTAGAATACAGTATTTACTTGGGCCTTTGAGTAGTCCCTAGTATATATGTTTGTTTTGAATCCGCCCTTGTCGTAGATACTTAGGCCTTGAAGTAGTCCCTAAAATGTACTTTTAGGACCAAAGTATATACTGTACGAGTCCATGGACCCTTAGGGACTTCTGAAAGGCCGGCCTTGGTCAGAGCCCTAAACCCTAAACCCTAGTTTCTAGTTTTCCTGAAGCCCTCATTGGACATGCAATGTCTAACAGGTCTACGTGCTCAGACCTCGTAAGATATAGCATAAACCCTAAATCCCAAACCCCGAAACCCCCAACCTTAAACCCTGAAGACTCCAAAATTCTGAACGCCAGAATTCACGAAGGTACAGCGTCAGTGCAGATGAAGATGATTTGGACCTGCTTGTCGCGGGTTTAGGGCTTAGGGTGTAGTGTAAGTGTAGGGCAGATGAAAATGATTTGGACCTGCTTGTCGAGGGGGTGTTGTGTGAATCAATCCGTGTGTCCTCAGTAGTGATGCCGTTGCTATGCGGTTTCGGATGTTAAGGTGTTCGAGTTGTTTCTTACGTAGCAGTGTGACAGCACTATAAATCACCTCGACTACCTGCAACCCTGGTGTGCCCTTGAATTTAGCTGACGACTTTCTGACGATCCTAACCCATCTCTGCCGGGTCCAATGAGCCTCCCCCGAAAGCCTGAACCCAAAACCCTAAAGCCTACTTGGAGGGGCAGGGGACCTAGTGAGTAGGTTATAAGTAGAGTTATAAGTACACTAAATGGAGTTACCCCGATTGTAGCACTATTTACAAACGACTTACTAAGTCCCCTGCCCCTCCAAGTAGACCCAGCATCCTAAACACTAAACCCCCAAAGTAGTGGGGTCGGATTTGAGCTCGGGGCTCTGAGCCTTTGGGCGCAAAATGTTTGGACTGACTTGTGTTTAGGGCTTAGGGTTTAGTGTTTAGGGTTTAAGGGTTTAGGGTTTAGGGTTTCGGGTTTTAGGGTCTAGGGTTTAGGGTTTTAGGGTTTAGGGTTTAGGGCTTCTTCAACGGTTTAGGGTTTAGGGCTTCTTCGGCTTGGGGGAAAGGCTTGAGGGCTCAGGGTTTTGGAGTCAAGTTTGAGTCTTGGGTTTCGGAAGTTTATGCAAGGTTTAGGGTTTGGGGCTTCTGGAGTAGAGCTCGGGAGATGTTGAACCTCCCAAGACACTAAAGCCGCAACCCACCAATATAGAAGCCGAAATAGTTGCCAATATTCCAAGGGTAAAAGGAGGGACCCTTAAGAAGGACCCCTAGGTATATACCCTTAACATAGCTATTATATACCCGTTATATAGCCCATTATAGGGTAGGGGTCCCCATTAAGGGTCCCTCCTTTTCCCCTTTGAAATATTATTCCTTAGGTCCCTGGGGCTCCTTATTGTAAATACCCTTACCCTAAGGGTCCAAGTACCTAATAATCATATACTCTCCAAAATAGTAACCTACATAACTACTATCCGAAACCTAAGTACCTAATTGGGTCCTTTGGACCCTTGGGGCTACTCTATCTTAGTCTTGTTCAAGCCCCTACACTACATCCTTATCTCTTTGAGCCCTCTTACAGGAGCCCTTTCAACGGACTCTTTCAACGGAGCCGACCAAAGTTCTAAAGTGACCCTCCTAAACCCTAAATCCCTAAAACCTAAACCCTAAAGCAACCTAAACCCTAAAGCCTAAATCCCAAACCCTAAACTTCTAAACCCTAAACCCTCCCTAAAACCCCAGCAAAGCATCGCTTTGCAGGAAGTCGGATGGGACGGGATGGGCCCATCGGCCGGGTAACTCAGTGAGCTTCGTGAGGGCTCAAGACTCTCTTAAGCCTTTCGGACTAGGGTTATCAGGGCTTCTTGAAAGGTTCTTTAGGGTTTGAGGTCTATAGCTTAGGGTTTAGGGGCTCTTGAACTGGTTCACTGAGTTGAGGGTTGAGTTGAAGGCTTTGTGGGCTTCGGGCCGTAAGGTTTCGATTATCATGTAGGCTGTCGAATTTATTGGCTCTTTGGACGCAGTATGTAGTCAGTAAGAAAATGCCGACATGAAGGATGATCACCCAAGCTTCATTTTCAGACACGGTAGGCCAACTACCATTGCTTTCATGGGTTGTGTACGGTTCAGAACCCTAAGCCAGAGACCCTAAGGCCATCTCCGACCTCCTGCTCCGGCGGTTCATGACGTCATCAGACAAAGCTAACACTCAGCCCTGAGATAGACATTCCATCTCGAGCAACCTAGAGACTCCAATACCCCTTAAATAAGGAATATTCCTTAAATTTTGTAGGATCCTCAATATTGATTTAAGGAATATTCCTTAATTAAGGGATATTGGAGTCTCTGGGAACTACGAACATGTAGGAGCTGCTTATGGCTACTGCTGATGGACAAAATCCTGCATGACCCATTATAAGGAAGATACCATGGTTCCCATAGTTTAGAGTCCTTAGGGCCTTAGGGGCATGCAGGATTTTGTCCATCAGCAGTATCATGGTAGAGGCCTAGCACTGGCAATGTCAGCATCTGGAGTCCAAGTTGATTTTCAACAAGACACCCAAGAGGCCCCCGAAATGGCGAGCTTTTCAGGGAGACCGGTATCTTAGTAGCCGATGAATAAG